TCCCTAAGCTTCCCAAGTGCTGGGATTGCAGGTGTATGCCACCTTGCTCAGCCTCCATCATTTTTTTCTTCTGTTCTACAATAATAAATAATGCTTAGTTGCCATATCCTATCTCCTTAAATTCCTTGACTGTGATATTTCCTCAGTCTCCTTTACTTTTGTTTTACAACCCTGGGAGTAAAATATTAGACATAAGTTGTGATTCTGGGTTTTTTATTGTTTATTTGTTTGTTTGTTTTGGTGACAGGCCTGGGGCTTGAACTCAGGTCCGAGGCTTTTTTTTTTCCAAGGCTAACCCTCACCCACCTGAGCCACAGCTCCACTTCCAGCTTTTCTGGTAGTTAGTTGTAACTATGAGTCCTACAGACTTTCTTTTCTAGGTTGGCTTTAAGACAAAATTCTCAAATCTCAGCCTCTTCAGCCTTTTGAGGAAGATTACAGAGGTAAAGTGTCATCATCTCCTCCTGCTATATTAAGGGCTCATGCAATTAGCTTGACTCAGGACTGCTGATGTTCATCTTGATCACTTGACTGAGGTGGTCTTTGACTAGTGAACTTTTCCCATTAAACATGAGTCCTCCATCTCTTCCTGTACTATATTCCTAGGAAGGAAGCCACTGCGCCCAGTCAATGGAAAAGTTTCATATTCCCCCCACTGCCCTAGGTGCATATTTCTGATGTAATGATGAAGGGACCCAGCATTCCTTAATCCTGTGGCTCTGTCATCCCCCAGTGGGGCTTTGTCATCTTCATCCAGCCCATGTTAAGAAAAAGAGAGTGTGGAGGAGAATGTTTGCTTTTAGAAGCCTTGGCCTGAAAATGGCACACATCACTTCCACTTACATTCCATATGACACTCATTCATCTGCCAAGCCTAATTGCAAGGGAGGCTAGGACATATGGTCTAGCTGGGTGCCCAGGAAAAAGAGGAAATGGATTTGAGCAAAATACTAGCAGGATTTGCTGTACTACTTTAGAGCATAAAAGATAACAAACAAACCTCTCCTCCTCCACTATCTAATAATGTAGTTATCCTTTTATTACATTTTTAAAAAGACAAGAAAAAGGAATGGAAGGACATAAAACAAACATCTTAGAATCAAATAGAGTCATATGAATTGAACAAAAAATAGCTTAATAAAAAGCTTATTTCATTGACTGTATTTTTTATTTCACTCTTCACCTGTGAACATTTATCTGTCCTGTATTCTCTCAGTATTGGAATCTAGATGTTCTCAAAGTCTGAGTTGTCTTTGCCTATCTGGAATAGCAATTTGGGATTTTTTTTCCCATGAGATTGCTATCCACTCTTCCAATGACAGATGAGATGTCTTTGCCTAATTTTCAAATGAAATTAATCCTTGATCCTTGGGGCTACCTTGCCATCTGCTACACTTCCCTGTTTAACAGCTACTTCACGTTAGTGTTTGATACAATACCTTTCATGCAGTAGATGGGGTGCTTTCTGAGGGCAGTGGGCATAGGGTCTATTTGATGCTGCCTGTATTCTGTGAATGTACTCAGGATACTAGATGTTCTAAAAAGTTCTCTCTCTCCTTCCTTGTCTCTGCCTCTGCCTCTTCCTTTCTCTCCTCTCATTACCCTTCCCTCTTCTCAGATTGGGTCACTCTGTTTCCCTGGCTGGTCTTGAACTCCTCAATTTAAATGATCCTCCTGTTTCATCTCTTAAGCATTTGGAACTACAACCATGGACTATCATGCTTGGTTCTTTCTTTAACATATAGCAAGATAGGTGTTGGTTCTCTCCCCTACTTATAAAAGATCTAGCTTACCCAGTAGTGTATACAGTATTCATTGGTACATATTTGAAGGCATTTGTACAGTAGCTGGTCAGAAACTTCTATGGTACTGGACTTGCCCTTTCCTGGATCATCTTGTAATGAAAACTCAGACTTGGAACATGCTGTGGCCTTGTCCTTAGCATTCGTGGTTGGTATAAAAGTCTGGTGCTCATTATCCTGAACTTGAGTAACTAACAAACCTGAGCTCCCAGAGTCCCAACAGGGGATAGCTTCACCATGGAAAAATAAATGTTTAATTACAGGTGCAGAAAGAGGAGCATGAAGAAAACAAACAATCTTGTGATGGCCCTAATGACTAAGCTGCCATCCACGCCGTTACCAACAAAAGCATGGCTTCTTAAAGTGATTTTAAGCTCATTAGAAATAAAATAGGAATAAGAGACAGATGTCTTTTGCTTTCCTACCATGATGTCCTGTCCTCTACTTGCTGCCCACTGTTTACTTCAGTGCCTTTGCAAGTTCAATCAATAGTTTGTTAACATAAAATCAAGGTTGTAGAGTGTGCTCTTACTTCCCTTACACTGTTGTCCACAGTTGTCTTAAATTTCATAGTTGAAACATTGAAGCTTAAGATGCACAATTTTATAGAGTGTCCCACCTCATAGTGTCACACGAACTTCACTCGAAATTCTCTATGGTTTCAGTCAAAGGAGGAGTTCTACTTTTTACATTATACGCAGACTGAGACTTCAGCTAGTAAATTAATTACTCAGACTTGGAACTTGCTGTGGCCTTGCTCTTAACATTAGCACCTGGGACTCTAAGCTGTGTCTTCTGAATCCAAAGCTAGAGTTGAGTTCACAATGGTAGACACTGCCTGTCAGCCAGGTCACTTCAAAGCAGGGAGTTATTTGTGTTGTGATTGCCCAGCTCTAGATTTTTTTCTTATACACCTTAGAGTGGGTAGGTTGGACTCATAGTCAAAAAGCATTTTACACATGTAATCATAGCTACTCAGGAGGCTGAGATCTGAGGATCATTGTTTAAAGCCAGCTGGGGCAAGAAAAGCCCTGAGACTCTTATCTCCATGTAATTTCCAAAAAAGCAGGAAGTAGAGCTGTGGCTCAAGTAGTAGAGTGCTAGCCTTGAGCAAAATAGCTCAGGGACAGCATCCAGTCCTGAGTTCAAGCTTTAGGGCTCACACACACACACACACACACACACACTCAATGAGTCCTTTACTTAAATTCTGTTAACAATCAAGGCAAAGGATTCTAATATGGCCAAACTAAATCATATAAAGATCTTTTGGTTTAAGTTTTGGATTATTTTGATAAATTAAATAAATTAAATTTTACTCAAGACACTACATAGCTATTAATCAGAATGCCTAATTTCCAGTTCCATTCTTCTTCTTTTTTTTTTTAACACCCTCTGTCTTCATTCACACTTGGCTTGGCATCTCTTTTGCTTTGTAAGATTGCTGTGAAGAGGAGATAATGATAGAATAATTTCTTCATTTTCCAAAACATGTGCTATTGAGTTTTATGTGTAAAATCTCTACTATAGATAGATGTACGTTATAGGAGAGTAAGGGAGTAGACAGAACCATTTCCATAGCACTAAACAATTCTAATCCTCAATGTAAAATTCATCTTTAACCTACACATCAGTAAATGTGTTCAGTTTAACATGCAATGTCTTGGTCAGTCTTGATGGAACAGGTGGACAAAGGATGAGATTAATGAGTACAAATTCAGACTATCCTGTCACAACTTCAGCTATTATATAGCTTCGATCTTTGCTTCAGTCATTGCCACCAGAGGCAATATTTCCCCTTTTCTTCTCATGTTTTTGTTTTGTTTTTCTTTTAAATTTGATTTTTAAATTTAAATTTTAAAAAATCTTTTTAAATTTTATTGTCAAGATGATGTACAGAGGGGTTACAGTTATATCCGTAAGGTAGTGAGTACATTTCTTTTAGAACTTGTTACCCCCTCCCTCATTTTCTCCTGCTCTGTCTCCCCCCCTGCCCATCCCCCCCGCAAGTTGTACAGTACATTTTCAACATATCGTCTCATGAGTATCACTGTTGCATTGGTTCCTTCTTTGTCCTTTGTCTCACCATTCTGTTGTTCCCCTTCCCTTCCCTAATTCAGATAAATGTGTATACAAAACCCATGGTACCAAAATCAAGTACAGTGACAACAGGGGATAAACCATAGGGGGAAAAATACAAAAGAAACAAGAAATCACATAGTACATGACAAACAACAACAACACAGAAAATCTTCAAGTTTTTAATGAAACGATTAGGGCTATAAATACAATGAAATATTTTTTACCCAACACTACAAACAGAAAGATGTGGATGTGGTATAAACTAGATGGTTGCTGGCCGTCAACACCACCATGAGACAGCTTTACATATTTATGTTAGTGGCTATGCAAAAACCTAGCTGTAGTGTACAACAGTCTATCTGATGGTATCTGTATATAGAGAACTTTTAAAGTATGGACCATTTCTGGTATGAAATACTTAAGGAATACATATGAGTGAGTTTTCTTTTTTTCCCCCCTCCTTTGGTACTGGAAGAATTATGTGCAGCACTGGGATTTCTACCTGGTGAAGTCTTTAGCAAAGGTGAAATCTGTTTCCACTTACAACTTATTGGCTTCTCATGGCCATGAGGGTTTTGTTTTTGCCAGTGGTTCTCACACAAACCATACTTTCTGGGTGTACTTGATCAGAATTTCAAAACACAGGAGCTTCTGATGACTAGTTGATATCCATCAGGAATGAGAGTCTTCCAGGGCCTGATTATCACTGCTGGAAGCTCAGGAGGAATTACGGAGGCATTTGGCTTACACAGTGATTCTGGAATGGGACCATACACTTGGTCACATTTTACAGCTAGACACCCAATGTCTGAGGAAGGAGTAGAAATCCCTTCTCCCACATTTTAGCATGCCTCTGTATTTTCCTAATTTGTAATTAGCTTTTATTTATTTACATTTGATTTATTGCCTCAAACTATCACGATGTTCCCCCTAGACAGAAGTAAAGAGAGCATAGATATATTATTGAAATACTCCCTTTCCAAGTACTAATTACATTATTGAGACATCATCGACATTTATGCATTTTGCTTATAGAATGCGTTTAACAAGTTGCAAGTGTGCATTTTTTAATAAACAAAATAAAAATTCGAATGATGATTTCATTTTGTTTTGCAGAACCCCAGCTGAAAGGAATCGTGACAAGGTTATTCAGCCAGCAGGGATATTTCCTGCAGATGCATCCAGATGGTACCATTGACGGGACCAAGGACGAGAACAGCGACTACAGTAAGGAACATGAGTTTCTTGAAATCCCAGTACACAACAAACCTGTATCTTAGATTTAAAGCGTGGCCAGGCTGCCTTCTGAGCAAGTTAACTGCTAGGGAGTCAGGGTCTTTTTTCTTTATCCTTCTTGCCAAGAATCTGCTACAGCAAATCAGAGGTTATCTACTAATACAAACAAACAAAGAAGAAGGTAGGAAGTTAAATAAGAAAGTAGGAAGCTTGCAGGATTTCAGCTAATCCATGGATAAGGATTATTTATCATTCATTCATTCATTTATCTGTGTCATTCCTGGGGTTTGAACTCAGGGCCTGGGCAGTATCCCTGAGGTTACCCCCCCCCCCTTTACCACTGGAGTCACAACTCCACTTCTTTTTTTTTTTTTTTTTTTGGGTAGTCAACAGTAGATAAGAGTCTTACAGACTTTTCTGCCCAGTATGTCTTTGAACATGGTTGTCAGATCTCACCCTTCTGAGTGGCTTTGATTGCAGTTGTGAGCCGTGGGTATCTAATGAGGATTTCTTTCCATTGTAGCGTTTCTCATCAGAGAGATAAGTACTTCTAGGGACAATATTAACTCTCTAACACAAGACAGTAGTTACATCCTAGGCTTAGATGATGGACATAATTTGGGATAAATAGAATTACTTCTAGATGGCAGAGTGGCTCATGTGGAGTACCTGCCTTGCCTAGCATGTCTGAGGCCCTGAGTTCAGCCCCTAACATTGCTCAGCAACAACAAAAACTTGCTTCTAAAGGTAAACATTGAATCCATGCATATGTTATTTCACTTTGATTAAGAATAAAAGTAAAGGAACTTTTTTCAGGAACTTTATATATATGATGATGATGTTTTCTAGTACAAATTATAGAAACAAGAGAATAGACAAGGATGAAATTTTTACAAAAAATTTGAACTAGGAGTACCATATATTACAATAATTAACAATAATATCTTTATAAATCATCTGTAAGCATTTAACTTGAGAGTTGATAGTTCAGTATCTAAATGCAATCATAAAAGCACACATTTGTACTTTAGAAGAAATTTCAAATATAAGCTTCAGAGACAAAAATGGAAGCTATCATATCTTTCAGCATCTCCATAATCCTATGGGTAAGTCAGGGTAAATGCACAGATTCTAAACATATTCAGTGTCTGTTATTTTCCTTTTTTTTCTGTATATACCACTAAATCTTAATGACTCTAAATAGCCATTAAATATCTATCCAGTTAGGTCATGATTCTGATGGACATGTGGTTCCGCTGACAATTTACCAAACTGAATATGGCAATCTAGGAAGTGTGATAATTTACAGTGATATATCTTTTAAATTAACAAGATTTGAGGAAAGATTCGAAATCCTTAAATTGGCAAGATGCTCTTGTCCACCCTTTCTAAATTTTCTTTGTTCCTTTAATATTGTGCACTGCAAAATACAAATTACAATAAAGAAAGGATGCTATTATGAAGAATTTCCTCCCAGCTCTCTTGTTCTAGGTTTTTGACAAAGTAGATGATTAGCTTATTGTGGTATGCATTGTTGGTTTGTGTTGCTGTGAATGCATTCTCTAAAAGAACTTGGGTTTTCAATTCATGACTGAAGAATTAAGGAGCTCTTTTCTCCATAAAGGATTGTCATCTATTATATTTGTACTTAGTTGTAGATTTAGAGAGACTACAATTATGAAAGGAAACCATGAGGAAACTGCTTCGTTGGGTCACCCATGTTAATTCTGAGGTCTTTAGATCTCTGTTCTTTTTTTCAACAAGTATGACCCTTACCAGGGGATAAGGGTAGGGACACTGAACAGTTTCTAGAAAAGTTCATTGAATGTGCTTGCTTGGCTGATGATGGGGTTACCACTAGTTTTCTACATAGATACATTTATGTAAGTATCTTTCTATACGGAGAATAAAAATATAAATCAGTGTAACAATATACAAATCAATGTGGTGCATGCATATGTCCCTCCCACATACCATATACCCTGAGGAGGATTTGATGGATGGGTTTTGTCAAATGCTTTTTCGAAACTGACAGAACTTATGCATTTGAACCACATTTTTATTAAGGTCAACTGCTGCACACCTTTCAGTAAATTGCTATTGAATTGGTTTAGATGTACAAAATATAATGGATAATACAAATTCATCTGGATACCCATCACCAGCTTAAAAAAGTAATTAAAAATTTCAATACATTTGAACTCCCTGTGGATTCTTTTTGATGGAATTCTGCTTTCCTTCTTTACCAACGTAATCACTTTCCTGATTTGGCTTTTCTTATCATAGCATAGTTTTAAAATATATCTACTTTTGTTGAGATGTACACTTAACCACCCTATAATATTTTTGGCACATTTTAAGCTTTTGATTACATGTGAACATTATTAATTACATATATATATATATATATACTTGTATCATTAATACTGTAGTTATGAGGTTTGTACAGTTAATCTGCTCGCTTTATGTAATTCCTTCACTAAAATATTTTACTACATAAATAGGTCCAAACATATTCACCCAATCTTTTGGTGAGTAACTATTATTAATATTTTAAGACCATTTCCATCAGTGCTGATGAGATCTTTCTTATAGTTCTAGACAATCTGTTGAAAAAATAAGTCATATTGTACTTATAAACTGACATATTGAATTGAAATCCCTGTGTAAAACTACTTAATGGTAACAAAAAGTATATATAAAGTTTTTATTTTTGTACATTTTTTATTGTAAAAAATACTGTACAGAGGGGTTACAGTTACATGAGCAAGGTAATGAGTACATTTCCTATTGAGCATTGTTGCCTCCTCCTTTGTTTTCCCCCTGCCATCCCTTCACACACATCTCAACACTCTCTTCTGATAACCTATTGTGTTGGCTTTCCATCGCTATCACAAATACCTGTGATAAATTAACCTAAAAAGAGGAAAGGTTTGCATCACCTCATAGTGACAGAGCTCTCAGCCTGTGACTTATTAGCTTTGGGCTTGTTTTGACATGGTAAATAGATCATGGCAGGCCCTCATTGTGGATGAGGCCTGTTCATTTCAAGGCTGGGATGTGAAAGAAAGCACAGAAATGATACACCTCTCCAATCACTTTTAAGGGCATGGGGCTTGTCCCCAAAGAATGGATGGCTCTTCATTGGTGCCTTCTCAATGGAGATGCTGTTCTCCTAAGTATGTGGTCCAATCCTCTAACACCAGGCCTCTGGGAGACATTCTAGATCCAAACTATGCATATACTTGACTTACTTGTAGTCATAATTCCTGCAACTATTTGACAAACATATTATTGTTGGTTATTTATTTTTGATCTCTTTCCCAAGGAGGAGGACATATAATCTATAAGCAGTATTACTTTGGTCTTTCATGTATATTTAGAATGGTCTATCTTTCTTGCACATAGTAAATTTCCATCACCAACTGAGTGGGTGAATGAATGTATGAGTAGCTACCGGTGGATATGTGCTAAATTTTTTCTTGGTTATTTCCCAAATCCTTCCAACTCACATACATTCTCTCTCTCTTCCCCCCCCCTGTCTCTCTGTGGTGTGTGTGTGTGTGTGTGTGTGTGTGTGTGTTGGTACTAAGGTTTGAATTTAAGGCCTAGTGCTTGACTTTTCTGCTTAAGGCTGGTGTTCTACCACTTGAGCTGTGCCTCTAGCTCTGGCTCTTTGCTGGTTAATTGTAGATTAGAATCTTTTGAATTTGTCTTCCTGGGCTGGCTTCAGACAAAGATCCTCAGTCTGATACTCTTAATTATGTAGGATTATTGGTACAGACATGTGCCACAGACATGTGTTGTATTTTTTGTTTTGTTTTGTTTTGTTTTGTTTTTCAGTTGTGGGGCCTGAACTCTGGTCCTGGGTGCTGTCCCTCAGCTCTTCAACTCAAGGTTAGGGCTCTACCACTTGAGCCACAGCATCACTTCTGTTTTTCTGGTGGTTTATTTGAGATAAGAATCTCATGGACTTTCCTGCCTGTGCTGGCTTTGAACCATGATCCTCAGATTTGAGCCTCCTTAGTAGCTAGGTATGAGGCACCGGCACCCAGCTTCACAGACATGTTTTTAAAAGATATTTACTTTGGAAGTTATTTCAGACTTCAGAAAAATTATAAAGTTACCCAACAAGTTCCTTCAGAGTTTTTAGCCAGTTTTCCCTAACTGCACCATTTTTACCTAACAGATTATTGGACAAGGAAATGAATAAAAAGTGTTATTTACTGAGTTATGTTCAGGTTTCTCCTTTCTAAACTAATAGCTTTTTTTGCCTTTTGTTTTGATAGTACTAGAGTTTGAACTTGTATTTTCTTGCTACAAAGAAACTCTTATCACTGAACTATACTCTCAGTTGTCTAATACACTTTCCCAATATTTTCATAAAAATTCCAAATAGTTTTTTCATCTACATGTAATTTTTGTACATACTTCTGAGAGTGAAAATTAGGGCTAAAATATATCAGAATGATGATTAAATGGTAGTCAGGTTTTTTAATAGAAAAATTGTGAGTCCTTAAGTTGTTCAAATGCCTTTTCTTTCTTTACTGTGTGTGGGTGGGAAGGAAAGAAGATGGTTTGAAAAAAAATCTTGTTACTATAAGCATCTGTCAGAACTGTGCTATTTGGTTCACTAGACATCACTAGGTCCGACCAACTTTCCCATGGTATCTTGCACAGAATTGATAAAGACACCTGCTGTTTTGTTCATGGAGAAAAGACCAATTATATGTAATTGAGTACAGACTCAAATGGGTTTGTCGGCAGTAACAGATAAGAACTTCTACAAATATAATGATAACAAAACAAATTGCAGAACCGTTTAGGAACCCTGGCACAATTGCAGTTTGGAGGGTATTAATAGAAATATTTTACATAAAATTAAAATGCTCATCATTCTGCTCCACAAGTTACCACTGATGATACATTCGAAGAGGTTAAAAAATGCTGGGAAGAAACAGATGGGAATATGATGTAACCAAAGCCATTAT